TATATATATATATTAAGATGTAATAATGATTAGCACATTTCATTACAATCATTACTCTATTAGTTTCATGACGTATTATAGGTTGTACAAGCATTGGTTGGAAATAAAAAAATGTATATAAGTGTAAAAGTATATCTTATTTGATTTATTATATTTCATTAATCAACAACATGTTTTTCGAGCCATTCTGTGAATGCGGACACTCTAGTAAATACATCAGAGTATCCGCGAGCGCATGGTATGCCGAAAGAAACAACACCGATCTGAACACCATCAGCAACAAGAGCACCACCAGAATCACCCTGAAAATTTAATAAAGACAATAACTATTTGTTAAACAAAGACTTCATCCAATCTATATCATTTATTATACATAAATTATGTCATAAATAATATCCAAAAATATATTAATATTTATATCTACTTTCAATACATTTAACTTGATAAATTGATTTATAATAATTGTGAAATAAGTAATATAAAATACATCGTGAGAAAGTTTGCAGAGAAACAGAGAGAGAAAAAGAGAAAGAGAGAGTTGAATTTATGTTTGATGTTATATCTCAATCGATAGTATATTTGGTGTCTACATACAAAATGTATCATATACGTATATATGATACATATTGTATGTAGACTCTTGTATATATAGATTTTTAAAATATTCTCAAACACTCTACATCAAATCAATTATGATGATGTACTTTTTTATTTATTATTATACGTGTCTCTCTCGTGCAATATATTTTAAATAATTAAATATTTGAGAAATCGGTACTTACATGGCACGCGCCTTCGCCTGTTTTTGTTAGCGTACAAATATGACTAGATTGTACATTCTCGTGTTCTTGTCTGCATTTATTTTGATCGTAAACTTTTAACTCAATTTGTTGCAAGTTATTAGGAATCTGACCACCAAGCTAGATAATAAATTATATATTATAAAATCACATATGCAATGTCCGTAAGAAAATTTTGAAAATATACATATATATACTAAGTCTTTATATAAGCTTAAAAAAATTCAAGACTTTAAAAACAAGATACATAGTTTAATATCGGCGATATTATTCCATAGTTTTCTTTATCCTCTCATGCAAACGATTTATTATCTCAAGAACTTTCCATACTTGTCATAAATTTTATTAACTATAAAACTAAAAGAATGTAATTATTTTTTATTATTGAGAGATACCACTTTAAGATTAATAACTATATTAAACACAGAACTAAACACTAAACACAAAAATTTTTATATTTAATTTAATTTCCTAATGGATTTAATCCAATAAATACCAGATAAAGTCAACATTTTGTGTATGTGTACGTGTACTTTTATTACATAAAATAAATGTTTTACTATTAGTTTGTTTTATTTAATGAGCTTACCGATAATCTTCCCCATCCTGTTAAGATGCAGGGATAACCAGCGGGAGCGATGTCATCTTTTGCAAGTAGTATAGGCTGTACCAGTGGCTTAAATTCCACAGCAGTTGACAGAATAAGTAAACCAATGTCATTGGTCAATTGATAAGGATTGTAATTCTCGTGAGCGATAGCTTGTGTTGCTGTATAAACGACACCAGATTCGTTTAAATAATTTGTGCCAGCATGGATAGTTAGATCTCGCAAACTCGCGGGATTGCCGCTGTAACTGTTAAACAAACGCATTTTCACATTATATATATAATATGAAACAAAAATAAAAAATATGTACCCTATTATACAATGAGCGGCGGTGAGAACAGTGTGGCTGCTGATGATGGATCCGCCGCAACTGTGAAATCCGCTTTTTCTCAATGACACTTGATACGGATACTTGCCGACTGGAGCATCTTCTCCGCCAACAATTTGACTATTTGGGTAGCCTATGTAACCATGTGAAGAGATACGTGAAATAGGAGAGAATGTCTAATAAAGATTTTTTGGGCCTCAATTGCTTTTACCACGGAAAATTTCAATAAAATAAATACTTGCAAGTGCACCTCATAAATTGTTATTATTAACAAACGTTGCACATAACAACACATCTTTTTTTTAGTATCAAGGAATTGAAATATACATATATTTTATGCCGCTATTAAATTATTGCATCACTTATATAAGAAGGATACGAAATTTTGTGAGGAACACTAAATATTATTCGGCGATTATTATAATAATTTAAGATGATCCAGTTCCTACACGTCAATTCTGATATAAAATGTAATATCTTTTGTAAGTAAGAACAATTATATAAAATGATTAAAATATTGATTTCGTGATTTTATTATAGCCATTACAAAAATGAGAAAAATTTAAGGAGCTCGCTTATTTGCCAACTTTCTTAACTTATATTCCTCGGAAAGATTAAATAAATCTTTCCAGAATAATTGTATTTAATAAAATTATTTTAATAGTGTTTATTAAGATATAATATTGATTTATTACAATTTTAATAATATTTGTTGTTACTCTTTTTTTATCCTTTTCTCTCTCTCTCTCTCTCTCTCTCTCTCTCTCTCTCTTAACAACACACACTGTATTTTCTCTCTTACCGTGAGCGGCTACTGCTAAACAGGCGACTACGAAGGTAAAAAATGCGTACATAGTGAGGTACTGTATGGTACTGATAATAATGAAGCTCTTCATAGGTATATATACACCTTCTGAGCTCTCCACTACATAGAAATATATTTTGAAATATATGTTAATATGTACATATATAACAAAAATGAAGATTCTTCCTAATCTTCAACAGATTTAATCATTAGATATTATATTTAATATCATAATGATCTCGATAATTTATGCTAAATCATTAGACACAAAGCCGAATTACGTATCTGCAAAGATATTTATCAATCTTTGAAGGAAATTTCGAAATCTTTATCTTTGAAATACGTGATCCGATAATCGAAAGATTGCTACATAAAATCTTTATTTATTTATTAAGTTACTTGTTACGGTTTTTTTATTACTATATTGTAAAAAGTCAATCCCAAATTTATTATAAACTATAACTAATAAGAGATTTCTGATAGCTTTCTCTCCCTCTCTAGATATTCTTTTGATAGAGAGATGATGGTATATGGTGGTTCTAATGTATCTTCTATTGTGATAGAACTTAATAATGGTTTACAAAAAAATTTTAGATAGTTTGTCGACAATTGATTTGTCCAAACCAGAAAAAGAATTTCATCAGTATATTATGAATGCTTGATATAAATTATTATTATTATTATTATTATTATTATTATTATTATTATTATTAGTATTATTAAAATTGTTTAAAGCATGATAAGAGACTGGATTACTGTGAATAGTAAATATCAAATTTATATAAAAAAAAATTAATTGTTATAATGTGATTACTGAAATGTATTAATAATAAATGATATGACGTATAATAAGTAATCGCTTTGCTTATCAACATTACTTTATAATTTTTTTATCGTATAATCATCTGGTCTATTAATATCAATATCAAATTAAAAAATTTTAAGACAAATAAAAGTATTCATTTCTATATTAGGTATTTATATCTTATTTCTATGTTTATGGATCCACTCGAGAAACAATCAGTTTCTTACTTTTAAGCATATAAAATTGTGGTTTCAAAAAAGTTACGTAAATAATATTATTAATATTATTCACTTTTTTCTCTAAATAAATTAATCTGTATATGTATTGTACTTTATAAATATATTTGATAATCTAGTACACATACATACCCACACACACACCCACACCCACATATATATATATTTTTATATAATAAGCTTTTAACTTTTTAAAATTTATTTTACACTAATTTTGTTTATTTTCGTTTATAAAGCGTAACAGAAATTAATATAAATGCGTTATTTTTAATGATTATGAAATGAGAGATTTAGAAGCAAACCCGAGAATTTCCACTTGACCTAATTTTGTCAGAGAGACGATATTCTTAGAACTCTGTAACAGAATAAGATAATTTAACGATTTTTCTTTTACAATAAAGTGTTCTGTCTTTTACATCACTTAAAATGCATGTATAAATTAATATCTACAATAAAATTTAAGTACTGAGATAATAAAAATTGGAGATTGCCGGTTTTGCATCTAACATATAAAAATTTCCAGTTTTGCATCTAATATTTTGTGAAGATTGCCGGAATTGCAACTGAATTATTGGAAAATAATCAAATTAAAAAATTCAAAGAAAATTCAATGTTCCTTCTCTATTTTTGACAATAACATTAATATAAAAAAAATACAATGAGAACATAAACATTTCTAAACAATTAAATTTTTAGTTTCCGCAGAACTATAAACGTCTTTTTCCTCAATAAGTTCTTCATCCACTGGCCCATCATCATTTGTTTTAAATTGTCTATTTTTCAGTAATTTGATGAAAAATCGTAGGCGTCAAGCGTTTCCCATTGATCACCGTTTGTTTATTTTTATTTTTTATGACTATTCCGAAATCAAGCATGGAATGATTGTTTAAAATCAAGTCATATGGTAGGTAGATTTGCTTGTGATTAGTCCAAATGGAGAGCCATTTCTGCAACTCACAACATGAAAATTACCGAGTTTGCAACTAATCCCAATTTTTGAAGCCCTTGGTTTGAAGAGAAAATTGAAGGATTTGCAATCAAACAAGTTCATATACTATAGATCACATGTATCTAAAAAAGAATATCTTTACTTTAACTCATTTTCGCTAAAAAGTGAAAATTGCCAGATTTGCTTCTGGACTCCTCAAATTTAATTTTTAAATTATTCTTATTGTCAATATTTGTTATACATTTTTTCTACAAAGAAACAATTTTTAATTGTATTTAAAGCACAAGAACATCAGAAATGTGTATCTGTCAGTATAAAATATTTTTTGTTTTTGATGATATTTTTACATACAATTATCAAAATAAATCAATTATTTATGTATATATTTATATTATAATTAAACATCCTGCAGAGATATTTTGATAAATAATGTTAGTAAATATGTTTTTAATTTCATTCAGAAAGATCGAAGATCTATTTTTTATCTGTTGCTATAATCAAATGGGTTTTCCAACATATTATCTAAAGAAAAATTTAATCTGTCTACGAGAAATCGTGCGTGAGATTTGACGTTATCTACGTCTGGCAATCTATTAGCTTTATTATCATTTGATATCGTAAGTGTAAGATTATTTGAGCAATCACAAAGAATAATGAATAAAATGATATACTGCTTTGCGATTAATTGTAATCTCTATAATTTGTGTTAGAAATCTTATGATTACGTAATAACATATAAATAAGTATAATATTATAAAACATTTTAAAAAAAGTATTTGTGTAAGCATTACATGATTTACGCAAATTAAAAAATTATTGTATAAATTGATTAAATAGGAGGTATAGAATTAATTTCTCGTATTTTTCCTGTTAATATTGGAACAATTTATATAAATAAAATTATAAAGCATTAATTTTTTTAATACAATATTAAATTGGAAATAATTTAAAATTGTTTCTTTGCTAATAAATAAAATTATTGAGTTAGCACTATATGAATATAATTATAAATTAATCAATTTAGTAATTTGCCTCTCTTCCTCTTTTTCCTTCTCTTATTCTAAACATTTACCGGTAGAAAAGAAATTGTATCGAGCAAAATGATATAAACATATGATATACGTTCGCTTTTAACCTTGATATGGTACATTTCCTCCAACAAAATTGCTATCACGTTCCTGTATGTTAGACGAAAAGATAATTTATCTTCTCAAGAGATGGCGCCATTTAGTATTCAACGTTTATATAACGAAGGCAAATATTCAATAAAGAAATATAACAAACCAATATAATAATATATAAAAATACAACAACAAACTATAATACTGCAGATATCTTATAAAAAATAATGTATCTATGATATTATTGATTGCTGTTCATTTTTTTATATTATTATATGTTTCTGTTTTTTGTTATATAATATTACACAAATACGCATAATTTATGATTTATATAATCTCTTCAAATTACAATATATATTCTGTAATTTTTATATAGATTAAATTTTATATTAGATAATATAAAAATAATACGTAACATTTTTTAAAATTTAAAAGAAATGGAAATATTGCAATAATGAAAAATAGAATGTTATATTTGTATTGTTTCAAAATGTGAAAAGTATTAATATTAATATTAAACAGTTTTATGTGTAATTAAATTACCGGCTACTTATTTTAATATTTCAAAAGATTCATATATGTAATCAAAAGTGATCTTTGCTTGAAAATAAAATTCTCTGAACAATATAATAAGAATAAATTCTATATTGAAGTTTTATATTTAAAATAAATAAAATAAAAATTAACAAGATTTTTGTCTATGATGTAAAAATGAAAATATAGTATGCATTTGAATGAAATAAAATCAGTATATTGATTAATATATACGTGGACTTTTTATAGTACGTATTAAATTTGTTTACATTATTTCAGTAACTTTTTCTGTGGCTACGGTTTAAGAAGGCATTTGCACAAATAAAGTTCGGACAGTGACGTAAACAGAGCTTAAGGTAGCTAAAAATTCTTTTATTCTTCAAAATCTCAAGGTGCTTGCCTTGTTTATGTACTGTGACACGCCTTGTGAAAACTTTGTAACAAGAGCGAGCTGAAAGACACTGTTTGCAAATCATTAGTCTGACGATAGAGGTGCGCTTGAGATGAGAAGACGGAAGTCTCTTCAACATGATGTCTATATAGAAACAAGCAAATTGTGAAATAGCTTTGACAATTTAAATTCGTCGCCATTGTTTGTCTTATAGAATTGTAACTTCTAGCATAACTGCTAAAAAACATAATTGCTAAGCAAAAATCTTTTCTTTGATCTTGTATAAATATTTGAGAGAATCTAAGCTATTTTTTATTCAGATGAAGGATGAAAATGTTTCAACGAGATTTCTCCAAGATGAAATTTTAAATTACATTTTACAGGAAGAAAACAAAAGGGTCTGCGTAGTGTATCGTTCCGTCTTAAGATTCATATTATGTGCGTGCGCGCGCATTTATTTATCTAATTTTTATTTAAATAATATTGAGTCATAATATGTACATTCTATATTTAATTATTTTTTTTGCAAAGAAAATAGAATAAGTCATATAAATCATTTAAATTCACAAACCTTGAATGATATGTTTCTCTTGTTTAATTAAATTAATAGATTTTTCCACATGATATATTATCTAAAATGGCTAATGTGTGTGTGTGTGTATATTACCTAAAATAAAACTGCAAGCTATGTCCTGCGAGAAATAAAAAGGACGCTAAAACAAAAGTAAATAACTTCTTTTATTGTGCAGCCACAAATGAACATTCTACTATTTAGGTTGATTCTTATAGCGTAGCGGGAAATAAATACGAGGGATCAGCAATCCCTAAGGATCGGGTGTGAAGGCGATTGCGAATAACAAGAACCCTTCGTCTAGCGCGAGTCCTGATCCTGTTAACGGGATCATCCCGGCATCGTCGACGGAACCGTGAGAGAAAATTAGACGCATTTAGATTTCTTGTCGCGTTGCATGAATGTATTTTGACAGTTTGATTAAACAAGGGCAGATCGCGAATTTGTTGCTCACTGTGCAAGCTCATTTTTTGCATTCTGTAATAAAACATACTACGAGAGAATTATTTAATTATAAAATTATTATTATTATTATTAATCTTATAGTTGCTGTTGCTGTGTGTAATATAACTTATTGTAAAAGGACATCATATATATTAAAGATAAAAATTCATGCATATTAAACAATTCTTTAAGACATATTCTAAGAAAAGAAGCGATCACAATTGCAGGGTTTTTTTTTGTTCACAGTGAGACATTTATACTGTACGTTAGGGTGATTCTCAATATGCAGTCATGATATTTACATATGCATATCATTTATCGTATCACTAGGGAAAAGGCTCCACGCCGATAACATCCCACAGGACTCTCTATATATCCAAATCGCATTACCGTGCTGCCCATTTCGGGCTAAGCTGCACCCTGAACGATTTGATATGCGTGAGCTATAACTGAGTTAACAATCCGATATGACAGATGGTGTTTCATGCATACCGCATCTGATCCGACCCCGTTGCTAACTCGAATTGTTCTAGTCTCGACAAACGTCAAATGACTATGACCAATGTCACATTTCTGTTATATATAATGGATTGCGATTTTTTAATATGTTATACGATAAAAAGAAAAGTATGTGTGTCAGGAAAATAGTATTTGCATTTCGCAAAAATGTTAAATTATATAATAAAAATATTAAATTATAATATTCTTTAATCATCCACTCTCTGATATATTTATTATATTTTCTATAAAATAAATAAATAATTTATGATAATTGGAATAAATAAATTTAGTAAGCAAAATCCATACACGCGACAGCAGAGCGAACTTTGCTGCAATCTGTAAGAAAATCTGTTAATCATACTTGAAAAGGGGACAAAGAACACTCACAAGCATCACATTGCGGAATTGTTTTTTTTTTCGGAAACGATTTGCGAGGTCTCTTTCACCCTCGAATCACTTCGAAATCCTCGAAACGGCACGACAATCGGCATGTTTCTTCAATGTCCATCCGATTCCGCACGGCTATCTCCGATAATTTTACAGCGAAGAATAAACCGCTGCTCTCCTCGTAATATATATCGCCGTTTTCAAGGAAAAAAAAATTACCGAACATCTCGAACCGACTCGATAATTTTACAGCGAAGAATAAACCGCTGCTCTCCTCGTAATATATATCGCCGTTTTCAAGGAAAAAAATTACCGAACATCTCGAACCGACTGAGAAACGGACGAAAGTTTGAGCCATCGTGAGTGCGACGACCTTCGAAAAACGCGGTGTGCGCGAAAGTGCCTTTGCGAGTAGACGATAGTTACTTTTATGCTCCGTAATTATACATTCTTCTCTGACCGTCGGTTGCGAGTTTTAGGGTTGCATTTAGACTCCACGAAGCAGTGCGGCGACTCGTCGGCATTTTTGCACGCTTCTCCCACGATTCATACAGACGCCGCGGCGTCATTGAGTCGGAGAAAAGCTTCGGTTCGCGTTACAATCGACGAAAAAATCCTGACTTATTTGCAAACATTTAATAAATGTACACATAATTTTCTGAGATGACGAAAATGTGTGGTACAACGCCTCGAAAATTCGCTGTTGACGTTAAAAATACGCAATTACTTACAAAAAAAAATACAATTTTAAATATCTAAAAATCATAAGAAAAAAATTGGAAAAAATGAAAAAAACTGAAAAAATTTGTTAAAAAAAAAAAAAAAAATACAATATATACAGATTCATTCCCATATTTTTATCTCATATTTTCTATAATAATCTTTCTAGATATAGAAAAGCACATTAAGAGGGTAAAACTATTTAATATATATAAATTATTATAGGTATACTATATTATATACTAACTATTTAATATACTATAGTGCACTTATATATATTATTTTTTCAGTTACAAAGAAAAAATGTTGAGAGATTATACCAGAGTAATAAATACTAATGATACTGTTAAATCAAGCTTATGCGATATGAGTTAAAGAGAGAATAACTTGTAATTACAACTTAAACAATTGTAAGTATAAATAAAAATCACTTTTAAATTAAGCGTTTTTCTTTTCTGTTTATCTCTTTTAAAATACAAATCACGTAAAAGTTAATTTATCGCAAGGAAATTTTTATGTACCGTACAAAAATATTTATATAACTTGAGTGTTTAAATATGTAACGTGTTTCGTGGCTGATGAAATTGTATGCGAAATGTCTAGACAGAGTCTTCCACGAATTCTATTTTTTAATGATTCGCGGGAAATTTTGAAATCCGATGTATGTGCAATAATATCCGTTATCTTCAGATAGCGACGTTATCGATAAACGCGCCGAGGCGTTGCCACACGGTATACGACGATAATTATTAGTATACGAGCTACCCTGTACTTACGAAGGACCTATTATTAGTACAAACGCGTATTACCATCGAGTTCTCCGCTTATGGTCCGTAAGTGATTTCCACCATAAGCGTCCGAGGAAAGTATCGGTAAATTGAGTACTTGAGCACGAAGAAGACGTCAGCATGACAGCTCTTTCTTCTTACCTGTATTTAAGGTTTGTTTTAGAGTTCATTAGGTCATTTGCGTGCGCTTTCACTAACGCAAAACGCTCAATATTCTTTCGATGGAAAATTAACGTTCTTCTTTAAAGTTTTCCGCATTGTACGACGTGTTTCATGTCGTTGCATAGTTTTTTTCTTATATTTTTAGACGAATAATATGGAGTGATAATAAATGAATCGTTTGTCAAATAATCATATGAAATATATTAAGACAAATTAACGCGTATTAATGTCATTTTTATTCAATTGAACTAATGCAAAGAAATAAAATAAACTTTTCGAAAACTTGAAATATGATATGTAACAATCGTCTATCATTTTATGAAAAGTCTTTTTTGTTATACATTTTTATTTGAGAATGTATGTGTCATATGTCAAAACATTGATAAAAGCATGAAAATTTTGTAGACTGTTCTATTGTACTATTTCTTCTGAGTATCTGTGCAAAATCTGAGCACTATTCTCTTAACGATTTGGAAATTATTTAAGTTTAAAGTTTGTATTGATTCTTATGAAAAATCGCATATTGTGTAGCACTTATTGACAAATTTGACAAGGAAAAAACATTGCCAGCAAAATAAAAATTTTCACATATATTAACAAAACTCTAATAAATATTTGCGCAAAACTTAATTTAGATTCACTTACTCGTTTAAAAATTATTTACTAAAAATTGTTGCAAAATACTTATAGTAACTCAAAATCTTCCTGTAAATTATTCGTTTTTTTTTCTTGTAGGTGATTTCAGGGGATATTCACGATCAAAAGTTTTTGTCATAAATTAAGAAAAATATTAATTACAACTATTTTCTTTTATGAAGACGTTAAAAATCCTATTATTTTGTGATACTTTAATTCTTTTCATAATTCAGATTTATTTATTTGATTTTCCAAACAGTATAAATGTAAGAAATATATCTTTTTTTAATTTTGATAATTTTTTGCTATTATTATACAGTCAAAACATCTTTAATTGTTTTAACACATTGAATGCTACATAAGATTAATAGAAGAGTTGTTTTTTGCATTGGTTGTTACAAAGCTAATAGAATACTGGCTCATTATGCCGATTTTAATGCATTTGTGACTATCGTAATATTTCGTGCGCATGTTATGACTGTTTATTATTTATGTAAATACGGATTATCCTTCGGATTTCATCAATTAATTAATTCTGTCGGATTAGCAGTTTTCAGCATCAATTACGCAAATAGCACTATGATTTGTTGATATCGTTAAATGTAAATATTGAATGCAGCTGACTGCCCGTCGTCACTATGTGATGTTGTAAGAGCGGCAAATTATTATATGTTTAATATACATATTTGATCAATTTACTGTATTCAATAATATACCAGAATCACCTGATTCGCGCGATTCACCTCTTTAAACAGCATTACCGCATTTCATTAATTTAAATGGTATAATATTCAATTAAAACTCTTTTACGATTTCGTAATATATTTCAAGACATGTTTTTTTTTTCGCATAAACATTAACGCACAAAGAATCAATCAATCAATCAAGTTAATGCTTCATTTTAAAAGTTTTATGCGTCTCATATTTTTCTAAAATTAAGTGCCCTATTTCCATAGCAGCCAAACGATAACAAGTGCAAAAAGCAATTGTAAGAAATTACAAATTTAGAAAATAAAATGCACACATATGCGTCTTACAGAACACCCAGTTTCCAGATTAACGCATTGACTTCGGTTAGCCATCCTTTTTCGTCTAGCTTTCAGATTTCAAGGACGGAGCGGATGTATCTACGCTGTCCGGAAGGGTCACAGCGGCGAATCCGTAGATCGTGATTAATGGAGCGGGTCGAGCGGGATCTACGTGCCGACGAATCGAGGAGCGCTTAGCGTGAAATTTACCCGATGAATTGTTCTCACAATTATCATGATCTACGGGTTCTCGGGGATCCAAGAAACACGAAAGTCTCGAAGCAGTCGGCTAATCTCTGTTCGGCGAACCCTTCACTTTGGCACCCCCTTCCCACCCTCTCTGCCTCCCTGCCGGCGCGCGGTCTTCTCTTCCTCACAGCCGCTGGCATCACCCTTTCGGGGCACCTTCTCACCCACACCCACACCCGCGCGATACTTTTCGACGGGGAACGGTTTCGCCGACGCGAGAATCTCGGAAATTTTTAAGTCGATCGCGAAACTATAATTATCCTTTAGGCTATGCGCGGAGTATGCAGTGAGTAGGTGCGCGCCGACCTTCGCAACACGGTTGCCCGATATTCTCTCTCAAATTTTCCTTGAAATATCGTCATATATATCAAAAATAAATCAACAAGATCAATTTAAGGTAAAATGACGTGAAATGTTTTTATATAAGTTTTTTTTTTTCTCTTAACATCGTCATCGTCTGTTGGGAAGAAAAGGAATTGGTTACATGCCACTGGTTAAATGTTTCATTTTGCGATATTCTCGCGTGTCGATATTATTTTTTTGGCTAGCCGATGCAAGATTTTTTTTTTCTCCCGCTACAGAACCGCTTTTATTCCGCTTCGCGGACAGATTGATCATCGACGAAGACGGAACGCTGCTAGACACTTTCAAGTATCTTCCGAGATTGCTTCCCCACATTATAGAAGAATTTTGGATGTTCGTGCAAAGTGATTTATGAAGGATTTCTTGCCCGAGCTAAAAACCATTTTGACCGGTGCAACGGCAATCTCGGTCACGGTGATTTGATCAAATCAACCCTACGTTATTATCTGCAATTAATGAAAATTGCAAGGATTACCGCGTGAGTAATATCGTTTGTGATTTAGAGAAGAAATTTCATTTTAAATAAAGAAGTACGTCATAACTCAAACTTGAGAAGTTGTTTCATGATATTGCAATATATGAAATTTTATATTATATATTATTTTTATATTATATCTAAAACTTAAATTTTAAGTATTAATTAAATGTGATTAAACGTATTCTAATATTTATAAAGAAATATGTCAATGCCAAATCTCCATATCAAAATTCTCTTTCATCTGGTAATGACATAAAATTAATAATTTACGATTCTTGCTATTTATATATCAAACACTACGTTTTGTCTACATGATAAAATTTAAGCTTCAAATTGCAAGACTATCTCGAAAGACATCAAAATATTACATAAATCTAATTATTCAAGGATAACGCATATCTCTTTTAAAATTCTAATTTATTAAAAATCCGAATCTTTTTCTATCATAATTAAGCACAATTAATTAGAGGACATTAATCAGTCAAATCGATTATCTATTATCGAATATCCTCTTATAAAAGACTTGAGCTTTTAGCGGATTCGTGAATAAATCCGTCAGACCTTTTATCGTCTATTTTCCAAACTAGAATTAATCGTTGTCAGACATGGGAGCGAAAATGTTCCTTCTTCATTTAAAGAACGACGTCACGCGAGTGTGCGATGCTCAAATTAGGGTTATAATCCCCGTGCCATCTGATATAACGTCCCCCTCGTCGACCCGGTCACTATTTACCGATAGCATTTTAACCCTCGATTTGTCGTCAACAGCTTTCGAGTCCATTGGGAATCTCGCTGCATGATTTGCGGGAGCAACGTGTGCCGCCGCGTACCGTTACTTCGAAGTTGCGTGCATACCTGCATGTCTATTACAATTTTTATGTCAAAAGTTTAACATAAAATTTGAGATTACCGATCCGGTATAACATTGTGCAATTCTTTATAAGTAAGTAAAATTTGAAATTCGAAAGTCATGTTTACCTTCATGTTTGAGAATATAGATTTATCTCCCTCTGTTCGTGAAACTATTTATATATTGTATTAAAATGCAGTACATATTTTAAAGGCATTTTCGAATATAATTAAAAATGAAGGAGTGGCAAATTTTTACATATACAGTGTTTCAGGTCAGGTCAATGAAATTTCAGAATCTTATAGGAAATTGAATTTGGAACAAAAAAGTTCCTATAAACATAAGTCCGGAAATTCTTCGTTAAAAAGTTATAGCTAATAAATTCTCTGGAAGTAATTAGTTATGATCAAAATTTAATAAGAACATTTTTATATTTGCATTTGCATTGTTTGCACGAATGTAATGTTTACACAAAGACCATCGAAAGATGGTTTTTTCAAGTTTCTGGTTTTTTCGTTGTTTTGAACTTATTTTCTTTTGAGCGCCTTATCAGAATTAAATGAGATTGGTGCAATTTAATTTATTATTTAATTATCCATCAGATTTATTTCGTTACTTTTTTCAAGCGAATAAAGGGTTTTAAAGTTATTTTTAAAAATCATCAAAAAAAAACGTGATTTTTCGAATTTTTATTAGCTATAACTTTTTAACGAAGCGTTTCCGGATCTATGTTTATTCGAACATTTTTATTCCAAATTCAATTTCTTATAAGACCCTGATGTTCAATTGATCTGACCTGAAACACCCTGTATGTATTAGTGCATTTAATGATCAAAAAAAGATTATAAATTACCGTCACACAAATAAAACATGTATGCAAATTCTCGTCGCTGTCTCTGCCCTACAGTGTCACGCAATGCACAACGTCAAAATTGGGTCATCGTATATATAATACGAATGGAGAGGTGACACGTTGTGCGAACTGAAATAAAAAAGGAGGCGTGTCGGGGAGAACATTACCCACCAGGGACGCATTGTAAAGTGGCAAAGATATAGCCTCGGGCACTTATTAATATACAGCTACTCGGTAATTTCGACGTCTTCGGCATGTTCGATAGCTGTATTGTTTGGAAAGCTGAAAAGATGTGTGTGTGGTGTGTGTGAGTAAAGGTATTCACAAAATATTTAAAAAGATATTGGCTGTGTGTGTTGTGTGTATATGTAATATATTTTGTTAAATTGTCGATTAATTTCTGCAAGCTGTCATAAAATTGATAGCAATTAAGATAATACAATCATTATAAACATAGATAGAGAAGCACACTACTTATATATAATGTACAGGGTGGTAAAAAATTAATTTTTTACCACCCTGTACATACAACTTACGATGAGTGATGATAGTATAATATGTGTAATAATAATTGTACATTTATTGTATCAATAAATGTTCATTTAACTTTAATCACATAAATATATATGTCTCGCGTATATATAATAAAGATCCTTTATAAGTTATACATGTAATAATGAATTTTTGCAGTGTACACTCTTAACATGTATATAAATGCGAGTATTTATTCAGCAATAATGAACTTGCTTGTTTCTTTCTTTATGCACTAAAAATGATATCAAATAAACAGGACAGTTTTATTCGAAGCCTACAATTATAACTGGATTGAAGGGATTAAAACGTTATATTTGATATAATGCGAATACATCGCGGTGTTGTCGCCTCCGAAATTGCATCGATCCTTCCGGAGCGATAGTCACGACCAGTCGGGATATTTTGATAATTCCCTTTTTTGTGAGAGCGCGCGCGTGTAACGCGGAAGAGATCAAAGGCTTGCCAGTAGCACCTGTCCTCTATCCCCGTCTTGTCATCCAGCGGGACTGCGCCAGGGGGCTGGAGAACCCAATGAACTCTCTCTTTCCGTGCCTCCGTTTCTCTGACGTTCTCTCCCTTTCTCTCTCACATCCACCCTCTCTCTCTCTCTCTCTCTCTCTCTCTCTCATTTTCTCTTTTTCTCTC